ATTATTATACCTAAAAATAATTGGACGTTGACCTATGAACCAGGTCACAGTTCTGTTCCCAATCAGGGCATGTGCACAGGTTGTGGGCTTATTCCCCAATAGGGGGCATACAGGAGACAGCCAATCAATCATTCTCTCATTGATGTTTCTATCTCTCTCCCTTGATCTCTGAAATCAATAAAAAACATTATTTTAAAAATTGGGACCAATTTGTTTGAAATTCAGTGTCTAGTTAATGTTTCAGTCTCTCTAAATGTCTCATGTTTTTTCTTTTAGTTTTGTTTTGTGTTTTTGTTTTGTTTCTTATTTGAGTCAGGATCCACATGATGTCTTGACAGTTTTTTATAATTTGTCACATGAAGATGTTACAGATTCATCTTAAACATTTCTGGTCCAAATCTGGAATCATCCATTTCTCTGAGAAGCCGTAACTCCTTTTATAGTGGAAAATGGCAAATAGAATCTAAGCACTAGGAGTGTACTTTGATACTGGGTTGATCACTGCTGTTATTTTTATAATTTTTTTATCTATTGTAAAGAGTAAAACCTTCATTTGTTGTTCTTCCCTTTGGGGGGGTCACTTTAAGTTGCCCCTACAGCTTACTCTTGTGGGTGTCAGTTGGTTTATTTATACTTTTTTCTGTTTTTCACTTTGCATGGTTTCTTTTGCTATGCGTTCAAGTTCACTAATCTTATTCTGCAGTGCTTTATCTGCTATTTATCCCATCCAGCATGTTTTCATCTCAGAGGTTCTCTTTGGGTCTTTTTTTTTATATCTTCTATGTCTACGCTTTTCAACATATGGAATACAGTTATAATGTTTAATGTTCTTGTCTGTTAATCCTGATTTTGGTTACAGTTCTGGGGTCAGTTTGCTGCCTGGTAATCTTTGAGATATTGTGATTTTTTTTTTTTTTACCATCTTGGCCGCTGATTTTTTTTTTAAGAGCCTCTTTCTTTTTCTTTCTTTTTTTAAAATATATTTTTATTTCAGAGAGTAAGGGAGAGGGAAAGATAGAAACATCAGTGATGATAGAGAACCATTGATTGGCTGCCTCCTGCATGCCCCATACTGGGGATCGAGCCCACAACCTGGGCATGTTCCCTTGGCTGGAATCGAACCCATGACCCCTTCAGTCTGCAAGCCAACACACTATCCATTGAGCCAAACTGGCTAGGTCTGCTGAATATTTTTTATTCCTATAAATCTTGAGCTTGTTCTGGGAAGCAGTTGTTTTACTTCGAAATAGTTTGATCCTTTTCAGATTTTACTTTTATGACTTGTTAGATAGATCCAGAGCAGTGTTCAGTCTTGGGCTATGAAATATAATACTGTATTAGTTTTGGATATACAACATAACGTTAATATGCAGAATAGTATCATAACTAGAAGTTTGTACCTTTTGGCCACCTTCACTTATTTCCTCTATCCTCACCTGTGGCAACAATCAATCTGTTCTTATCTATAAATTTGGGGAGTTTTTGTTTTTTATATACCACATATGATTGACATCTAGTATTTGTCTTTCTCTGTCTGACACTTTTCACTTAGCATAATGCCCTCAAGGCCTATTCATGTTGTCACAAATGGCAGGATTTCCTTCTGTTTTATGGCTGAATATTCCATTGTGTGTATGTACTACCTCTTCTTTATCCACTCATCCAGTTCACCCCTCAATGAACACTTGGGTTGTTTCTGTGGCTTGGCTGTTGTAAATAATGCTGCAATGACATGGGCTTCCAGATATCTCTTTGTCATGGTGTTTTTGTTTCCTTCAGATAAATACTCAGAAATGGAATTTCTAGATCATATGGTAATTGTATTTTTAATTTTTTGAAGAAATTCCATGTTGTTTTCCATAGTGGCTGCATCAACAGTGCACAAGAGTTCTCTTTGCTTCACATCCTCACCAACACTTATCTCTTGTCTGTTTCATAATAGCCATTCTAAGGGGTGTGTGGAAATGTCTCATTGTGGTTTGGATTTGCATTTCCCTTATTATTGTACCTGTTGGCCATCATTTTGTCATCTGAAAAATTTTATGTTCAAACCCTCTGCTCATTTTTTAATTGATTGGGGTTTTTTTCTATTAAGTTATGTAACTTGTTTATATATTTTGTTGAGAGAGAGAGAAACATCCATTTGTGTTTCCACTTATTAATGCATTCATTGGTTGATTCTTATATGTGCCTGACCAGGGATTGAACCTAAAACCTTGGCATACTAGAACGATGTTTAAACCAACTGAGCTACCCAGCCAGGACAACTTATTTATATATTTTAGATACTGTCCTCTTAATCTGATACTGGTTTGCAAATATTTTCTCCCATGCCATAGGTTGCTTTTGCATTTAATTGCTTGTTTCCTTTGTTGTGCAGATTTTTGTTAGGTGTAGTCCCACGTGTTTATTTTTGCTTTTGTTGCCTTTGCTTTTGTTGTCAAATCCAAAAAAAAATCTTCACTGAGACCAATGTCACAGAGCTATCCCCTATATTTTCTTCTAGGAGTTTTATGGTTTCAGGTCTTACGGTTAAGGCTTTAATTCATTTTGCGTTGATTTTGGGTTCAGTGGTCTTTTGCATGTGGCTGTCCAGTTTTCTCAACACCATGTATTGAAGAGATTGTTTTTTTCCCCATTGTATAATCTTGCCTATTCTGTCGTAAATTAATTGACCATATACATGAGGTTTCATTTCTGGACCATAAGTATGACTGAATTTTTCTAGTCTTTTTAATGAGAGCATACACTGTTGGTACCCCAGGGAATGCTGGGCAAAATTTCCTCTAATCCTTCCAAGTGATTTCTTTGCCTCCGGTAGTTTCCTCATATACCTATTCTGATTAATACACTGTTAAATACTTGAGGGGCTCCCTCTACAATCTCCAGGCTTCTCTTTTTCTGCAGCTCTCTACTCTCTGGTATTTTGTTTTGTAGACTATAGCTGCCTTAGTCTCTCAAGACTCAGCTCCATATGTTTACCTTAAGGCAGTGGTTCTCAACCTTCCTAATGCTGCGACCCTTTAATACACCTCATGTTGTGGTGACCCCCAACCATAAAATTATTTTCGTTGCTACTTCATAACTGTAAGTTTGCTACTGTTATGAATTGTAATGTAAATATCTGATATGCAGGATGTATTTTCATTGTTACAAATTGAAGCATAATTAAAGCATAGTGATTAATCACAAAAACAATATGTAATTATATATGTGTTTTCCGATGGTCTTAGGCAACCCCTGTGAAAGGGTCGTTCGACCCCCAAAGGGGTCGCAACCCACAGGTTGAGAACCGCTGCCTTAAGGGGTCTGCCTGGAAAATCTCAAGGCAGTAAGATGGAAGAACCGTAGGCTTCAGCTCATTTACTTACCTTCTCTCAAAGATCACTGACTTCATTGCCTGATGTCCAGGGTCTTAAAATCTGTTATTTTATGTATTTTGTCTGCTTTTGTTGTCATTTCAAGCAAGAGGGTAAATCCAGTTCTGTTACTTCACCTTGCCTGAAACAGATTTCCTAGTTGTATGTTTAACTCCAACCAGTTTTCCAAAGTGGTAGTACTATTTTACATTTCTACTAACTTAATATGAGAGTTTTAATTGCTCCACATTCTCACTTACATTTGGTTATGTTAGTCTTTTTATTTTAGTCATTCTAGTGAGTTTGAATGTTACCTTACTGTAATTTTGATTTCTATTTCTCTGAGGTAGTCATGTCCCTTTAATCTTTAATTTAGAATACTTCCCACAGCATTAACTTTTTTACTAATTTTTCCAAAGAGTGTTTTGTCCCTTATTTTGGATTGGTCTAATTGTTTCCTCGTAGTTAAATTGAGATTAAATCATTTTTGTCAGGCACACTAGATGGATGATGTTTTGTTCTTCTCAGGGGGCACATGATGTGAATTTGTGCTTCATCATTGGCAGTGATAGTTTGCTCAGTAGGTTATGGCAGTGTTTTCCAGATTTCTCTGGTTAAAAGTACCTTTTTCCTTTTATAATTAATAAGCAATCTTTGGGGTGATATTGTTTCAGTTTTCCCAATAGTTTTTCATTCGGTAGTTTAGTTTTAGTATTCATTGATTTTTACCTGAACCAGTTATTATAGTCATTGTAAAATTGTGGCTTTCTATTTCTGTCATATTGTATATTTATTACTTGACTTTTTCTCTAAAAAGAGGTATTTCCTGTCTCCCGATACATACTTGTTGTAGTATCCATTTGGACTCATTCTACTTTTAATTTATAAGTTAATTCATAACTTCACTCTTTAAAATGTTCTCAACTTTGATTAATGACATCTTCAAACTGATTTGTTTATTCTTGACATTTTTCCTGCTGGCACAGCAAAATGGTCCAGGTTCACCCTGGATTTGGCCATTTCTTCAAGGAACCAGGGTTTTCTTTAGTGGAAAATTTAAAACGAAGTTTGGGCACTAGGCCATTATTACATATGTGTGTTTTTGATTTTCCAATTTATGTGGAAATTTCTAGAGATAGAAGATAACATCTTGCTACTAAAATCCCTGCAGCTCTGCATGCAACCAGGCTGGCAGTATTTCTGCTGTGTGTCAATGATGGGGATGCTCACACACACAGAAAATATGGTGGCACTGGAACTGAGACTAGTTTTGTAAACTACAGAGCGTAAAGCACGTCAGTTTCCTATATTATTTAAAATGTTGACATTTGCATTTTGGGGCTTAAGTCTTGGTACTTTATCTTCTAGTTAAAGCAATATTTCTTTCTTTTCTTTCTTTCTTTCTTTCTTTTTTTTTTTTTTGTATAGTCTTATTGATAAATGAACCTATCAGAATTTTCCATTTCTTGGGTGTTTTCAGTAACTAAAGCATTAATTAACCTTTGGAATTTCAGAATATTAACAGATTTTTTTTTTTTAGTCAAGCTCTATTACCTTTTATACTGAAAGAATAATACAGTAACATTTTCATTGGGTTGGAATGCATTTTGCCTCCCTTTTTCCTCCTTAATAAACTTCTAGATATCTGCATGGTGTTTGAAGTTTTGGGGCATCATCTGCTGAAGTGGATCATCAAGTCCAATTATCAAGGACTTCCACTGCCTTGTGTCAAAAAAATCATTCAGCAAGTATGTATCTTAGTATCTTCTATGTGGTGATTTTTATTTTTTTATATTCTTGAAGTGTCAGGAGTTTCCTGTTTCCAATAGAAGTTTTATTTTAAAAAGTAGGCTTTTTTAATTGCTAAAATTGTTTTATTCAGTCCATAGGATTCACTACATTTATTCTGTTGTTAAACATTTTATCTAAACCATTTCCCCGCAGTTCATTTTCTATAGCCCTGGCCAGTTTGGCTCAGTGGATAGAGCGTCAGCCCACAGACTGAAAGGTCCTGATTTCCAGTCCAATCAAGGGCATGTACCTTGGTTGCAGGCTCAATCCCCAGTCCTGGTTGGGGTGCCTGCAGGAGACAACTAATCGATGTTTTTCTCTCCCTGTCTCTCCCATCAAATTCTATTCTCTAAAATCAACAGAAAAATATCTTTGGGGCCATAACCGGTTTGGCTCAGTGGGTAGAGCGTCGGCCTGTGGACTGAGAGGTCCCAGGTTCGATTCTGGTCAAGGGCATGTACCTTGGTTGCAGGCACATCCCCAGTAGGAGGTGTGCAAGAGGCAGCTAATCCATGTTTCTCTCTCATCGATGTTTTTAACTCTCCATCCTTCTCCCTTCCTCTCTGTAAAAAATCAATAAAATATATTTTTTTAAAAAAGAAAAATACCTTTGGGTGAGGATTAACAACAACAACAACAAAAACCAATTTCTATAATAATTACTAGAGAGGAAGCTGTGTGCAGTTTCTGATTTTTGAAAATTTGGAACCCTTATTTAGAAGTTCTGGTTACAAATACTAATTCTATGGTACTAAAGAATTGCTATGTCGCCCTAGCCAGTTTGGCTCAGTGGACAGTGTTGGCCCACAGACTGAAGGGTCTCAGGTTCAATTCCAGTCAAGGGCACATACCTCAGTTTGATCTCCGGCCCTGGTCCAGACATGTGCAGGAGGCAACCGATTGATGTGTCTCTCCACATCGATGTTTCTCTCTCTCTCTGTCTCTCCCTCCCTTCCACTCTTTCTAAAAATCAATGGAAAAATATCTTTAGGTGAGTATTAACAGAAAAGGAATTGCCAGGTCAAATCATTACAATCTCTTTTTATAACATTGTTCATGGGCACTTTCTTTTTCTTTTTTTTTTTAATGTTTTTATTGATTTTTGTGGGGGGGGGGTTTTGAGAGAGAGAGAGAAAAATATCCATGTGAGTTACGATGTATCAGCTGCCTCCTGCACGCCCCCTACTGGGAATTGACCCGGAAACCCTGGCATGTGCTCTGACAGGGAATCAAATTGGCAACCTTTTGGTACATGGGATGACACTCACCCAACTGAGCCACTCTGACCAGCTCTGTGGGCATTTTCTAGTATTATTAATATCTTTCAGTGTTCAGTAAAGAATTTTACTGTCAGGAAAGTATTAATACATCAAAGGGCAAATAATTTGTTTCAACATTGTGTTTTGGTGGAAAGAGCTCCACACTGGGAAGCAAAAGTTCTTCATCAAAAGGAAATTTGAATTACAAGATACCTAAATCTCTTTTACCACCTACTAGTACATTTCAATATTTAAAGGGCATGTGTACCATTTTTTTTCTCAATCTTTATAATGTACTTAAAAGTATCTCCAAGTAGAATTCACTTTGTAAAACTTGGGAGAACTTTTTATTATAAATAAGTTAAGCTCTTGCCTTCATTCATAATTCATAGTTAATCTTTGTGCTTTAAAAACATACCTTATTATCTGTGGAAAGCTACCACATCATTTGTATAGGGGTTTTTTTTAGTATATTTTTCTTGATTTTTTTATATAGAGGAAGGGAGAGGGATAGTGAGTTAGAAACATCCATGAGAGAGAAACATGGATCAGCTGCCTCCTGCGCACCTCCTACTGGGGATGTGCCCGCAACCAAGGTACATGCCCTTGACCAGAATCGAACCTGGGACTCTGCAGTCCACAGGCCAATGCTCTAGCTACTGAGCAAAACTGGTCAGGGCCATTTGTATAGTTTTATTTTTTTTTAAGTTATTGTGATTTCTTCCTTTTCCAAAAAGATTTGTCTTTTGTGTTTGCAAGTCTCCTGCTCTGTTCCCACACAGGTGTTACAGGGTCTGGATTACTTACACAGCAAGTGCCGGATCATCCACACTGACATTAAACCAGAAAACATCTTGTTGTCGGTGAATGAACAGTACATCCGGAGGCTGGCTGCAGAAGCCACAGAATGGCAGCGGTCTGGAGCTCCTCCACCTTCTGGATCTGCAGGTATATTTGTTTTAGGGACTTGTTCTCATTAGCAAGTAAGTCAAGTTTCTATTTTTATTCTATTACTAGGCAGTTAAGTAAATCACATTAATCTATAACAGTGGTTTTCAATCTTCCTAATGCCGCGACCCTTTAATACAGTTCCTTATGTGGTGACCCCCAATTTCATTGTTACAAATTGAACATAAAGCATAATTATATATGTGTTTTCCGATGGTCTTAGGCGACCCGTGAAAGGGTTGTTCGACCCCCAAAGGGGTCTCAACCCACAGGTTGAGAATCGCTGATCTATAATAATAAAAGTGTAATATGCAAATCAACCGATTGGCTGAACAGCAGAACATCTGGACGACCACGCTATGACAGGCACTGATGCCAGGGCAGCCAAGGTGGGTGCGATTGATGGGGGAGGAGGAGGGGGGCGGGGGGCGGCCATCACCCTGCAGAGGGAGGCTCAGACTACCCCACCTGTGGCGCTGAGGCAGGTGGGTGGGGCCTCCCTCTGTGGGGCGATCTATCGCGGGGCTCCAGGAGTGCAAGAGGGCGTAGGCTGGGCTGAGAAAGACACACATACACACATCCAGTGCACGAATGTCATGTATCAAGCCTCTAGTTTAACAAGAAGGTACAATAAGTGCTTATGTGTACAAAATAGTCCCAGTTTTCCAAAGATTTTTTTCACTCTCTGTATTGCTTCCATAATTGGAAGGAAAATACTAGAGCTTGTGTCTTTTAGGTATATATATGTTGCACAGTTGACCCTTGAACAACCGGGGACTTAAGCACATGGACCCCTATACATTAAAAAATTTGCTTTGTTAAATCATAGCCAAATCTTTTCTAAAAGAAAAGGTTTATTGAGCCACATGCTAGCCAGAAATAGGCCTGGGTCCTGGAGCAGGCTGTCTAAACCATCAGCAGCAGGGCTACATGGACAACAATGTCTACCCTTCTGGGATTGGTGGATCTTTTAGGCAAAAGGGAAGAAAGATGTAAGTTGTTTCGTAAGAATTTAGTTATAGGTAAAGGGCTAGTTATGAGATAGGTGCAAAGGAAGAAATGTTTATTCTTTAAGATAGGTTGTGTGCAACACTCTGGAAATATCGTGCATAAGCCGGATGCAGTGACACTTGGTAGTCAGCTATTAGGCTGTTTTCTCTGAGATAGTCACCTGAAGATTAATTGAAAATTTCAGCATACATTCAGGAATATTTGTTGGTTTTGGCCTGCATTCGTTAAGAGATTAGCCCCTCATCTCTTCCTTTCATCCTCCAGCTTGCTATAATTTAATTTAGGACACCTCAACATATTTTTTTTCTTGCCCAGCTGGTGTGGCTCAATGGTTGAGCATCGACCTATGAACCAGGAGGTCACTGGTTCGATTCTCAGTCAGGGCTCAAGCCTGGGTTGCAGGCTCGATCCCCAGTAGGAGGCATGTAGGAAGCAGCCAATCCATGATTCTCTCTCATCATGGATGTTTCTACCTCTCTCTCCCTCTTCCTTCCTCTCTGAAATCAATAAAAATATATTTAAAATATTTTTTTTCTTGTCAGCTTAACACTTTTGACTCTCCCAAAAATTAACTACTAATAGCCTACTGTTAACCAGAAGCCTTACCAATAACATATAATTAATACATATTTTGTATATTATATTTTATATACTATATTCTTACGGAAAAGTAAGCTAGAGAAAAGAAAATGTTATTAAGAAAATCATTAGGCCGAAACCGGTTTGGCTCAGTGGATAGAGCGTCGGCAAGTGTGCAGGAGGCAGCTGGTCAATGTTTCTCTCTCATCGATATTTCTAACTCTCTATCTCTCTCCTTTCCTCTCTGTAAAAACTCAATAAAATATATTTTAAAAAGAAAATCATTAGGAAGAGAAAAAAATCCTCAAGTAAGTGGAGTCACACAGTTAAAACCTGTGGCAACTGCATATGTAAAAGCTGGTTCATGTAAAATATTTTCTCTTGTGATTTGATGGCTATTTTTGATGTGTTTACCTCTTACCATGCTCATTTATGGATCAGTGATCTGTGCAGGATCACGATAATACCTATTAAAACCTTAAGTTTGGCTCAGTGGATAGAGCATCGGCCTGCGGACTGAAGGGTCCCCGGTTCGGTTCCAGTCAAGGGCATGGAAAGGTGTCCACAATGCACAAGTTTTGTTTTGTTTTTCAGGGGGAAGTTACTCATTATGGCATGATTCCATTTGTGTGCTTGCATATGTACATACAGAAAACTTCTGAAAGGGTGCAAAAGAAACACTTAGCAGTGGGTAACTCTGGGGATTAGATTGGGTGAAAGTGCAAAAAAGAGAAGGGCCTACTGTTAACCAGAAGCCTTACCAATAACATATAATTAATACATATTTTGTATATTATATTTTATATACTATATTCTTACGGAAAAGTAAGCTAGAGAAAAGAAAATGTTATTAAGAAAATCATTAGGCCGAAACCGGTTTGGCTCAGTGGATAGAGCGTCGGCAAGTGTGCAGGAGTCAGCTGGTCAATGTTTCTCTCTCATCGATATTTCTAACTCTCTATCTCTCTCCTTTCCTCTCTGTAAAAACTCAATAAAATA